CGTACCCCCCCCCCAACCTTTGACCCCCTTTTCGCGTTCGCACCGAGGTATAAAAGTAACCATTTTCGCGTTCGGGAACCTTCCCCCTGAAATTCCCTCACCTCTCCCTCCGCTAGCCTTGCCATCCCCGTCCGGTAAACAAACGAGGACCTCTCGGGGTCATTCGTCGGTGCTACACCGTTACAGTAGCTGGCGCCCATATATTATTCGAGTTTCATTCCCCAGCTGTCATCCCCCCTGTCCCTCGTGCTCTCCTGGCCCCATCCCGTCCCTCACCATCCCCGAAGCCCCTCCTCTCCACCGAGTCCCTTTAAATTCTTTCGAGGCCGCGTGCGCCCGCGCGAGCCAACGCGTGTAGCGTGAACCGAGCGCAACAGAGCGTGCTGCACAAAATCTGCAGACGTATCTTCTTTTCTTTTAACACTATCCTTTCTTTTCACGTTATCCTTTCTTTTGTATTTTCTTTTACTGTCTATTTTCTGTACCCCGACTTTATTTTGTTAATTATACTTTCTTTTCTTTATTCTACACCGTGTCCCCTTCCTTTGGTTCCCTCCCCCACCGCGTTGCGATAACTATTTCGAGCAGACCCTGGGCGGACAAAATCTGTCTGAATTTTTGACAATCCACGCCACAAACGACCCGCAAGAGTAGGAATGTAGGAAGTAACTGTTTAACGCTCCAAACGTCAGTCCTAGGTTAAAGCGCACAGACTCCTTAGTATTAAGTAACCCGCCTATCGTCCGCTTTAATGTTTCTTTGCTTGGTTTTATTTGCACACTGCTTGCTTTCTTTTTTTTTTCTTTGTTTGGTGTACTGTATAACGCTTTGGCGCAACCGATTGGTGTGTGAGCTGGTGGGACAATACCGAACAACGGGGGAAGTGAGGAAAGAGGCGCTGATTTTTTGGTGACCCTTGGAGACCGACTGCCGCCGCTTCACGAGGAGGAGATGCTGCATCCAAGGAATCAGAAGAGTCCAGAGTACCCGGGATGGGGCTCATACTTTCGTCTGCCGACCGTCCAGCTGGGACGCCCTACGATCGACGCCGCCCTCGCCGCCGACCAGGAGTTGAAGTGTCCTCCTCGTCCTGCCGCGGGGCCGCGAGAATATCTACGGCGGGCTCATGCTGATGTACCACCAGAGACAGGGAGGGAGAGCAGCCAGCACCGCGGACTCCCGCGCTCCCTGGCCTACGAACGGACCGCAGCACCCGAAGACTCCCGAACGGGCCGCCGACAGCTTCGGTCATTTTCGTGACTAGCGATGATCCTCACCGCGAAAAACCCCTTAAGCAATTAATACGTTCGACGTTCGATGTTTTGTCACGGTTCCGCCAGCGCCTAAATAATGTAAATAGTGGGGGTCAAGAGGTCTCGAGCTCAGTGAAATTGAAATAGTACTTCACTTACGTTTGGAGCTTCTTAGCAAGTGGTCTAGTACAGAAAGTAGTCAGCTTAGGCGAGAGAAAAGAAATGAGTATCTATAAAATAAAGAGATAGAAGGAAGGAAGGAAGGAAGGAAGGAAGGAAGAAAGCCCTTCTGGCCCTTTTGGACTATGTATACTTACTTTGCCGCTACGATATTTGGTGAGACCCTTGACTACCATTATAAATTGGCGAAATAATTTCTTGGTGTTAGCGAAAATTTACCGTTAAGGCCTTCTGCCTTAACGGAAAAATCTCCGATTTTGAGAGTCCCGATGTGAATGTCTTTCCGCATCGGGCTAGCAAAAAGGACGATAGTGCTGGGCTTTGCGATTTAGTGATATTTCAATAATTTTCTGTTTGTTTGATTTTTGCCGCATGAGGCCCTAAAGTAAGCTTTATACTGGAATCTGTCTCTAAATTAAATTTTCTTCTCTAGTCAAATATTTCAGTAACGCCGCGCTTTTAGGCGATATTTCATATCATAATTTATTGATGTCTCGCATCTTCTAGTTGCTGTTCGTTGCTTATAGATTTTCCAAATTATTTGATAGCTGAATATTGAGCGCCCTTCTGGCCTAATAGAGTCCTAGAAATCCTTTGTTCTCGAGGTATCCGCTCGACCCTCGTGGCGACCGCGTGTGTTTTCGCCGGCCGCAATTAATATTCTAAAATAAATTTATCCTATCAGAAAGGGTTTAAACAGGCAACTATAGGATGCTTTTAGTTATAATAATTATATTGTATGCTCTCGCTATTTATGTGATTTCTTGGTGTTATCTATGCTGTATTTTGTATTTGTCGCGTGCTTTATTTATATATTACTTCTCGAATCTCCGGGTGCCGCGATTGACTCTTTCCTATTCGCGTAAAACTCTGTTCAAAATCTAGAGATTTGCGCTAGCGATTGCGCCGGAATTTGTGTTCGGGATTCCTATTTATTCGAGTGTTCTTTGGCGTTCGTGATCCGTCCTTTTTATTTCGCGCCGTTTGTGAAAATATCAGAACCATCTGTTTAGTCTCCAAAAAAGTATTCTAGAGTCGAATTGCTAGGAACGGCCCTGTGCCGCGAGCGCGTCACGAGCCTCACCGCTCCCCGCGAATACACGCTACGCCCGCGCTTACAAACTCGCCGAGCTCGACGCTCACGCGTGCGCCGTCAGCCGCGCGATCGCCGCCGTGCGAACTTTAGCGAGGAGCCGTAGAACGACTCTGGCTCATTCACGATTTATTATAAACTATTTCTGAGACTATTGTTTAATAGCATATGTCCGATTGATGTTCGTGGAATCGTTCCGCATTTGTAGCGTCTTTTGCGTTTATCTTTCCGCGTTAGTTTAAGTCCATTCTTTATGGTAATCTTTCCGCATATCAGTAAATTCATTAGAGCATTTCATTTAGTTTGGCGAATCTTGTACCTTTAGAATCCGTATACTTTGCGTTTTTGAATTATATAGAGTCACCCTTGCGACGTTCAATCGATATAATTAGTAGATTTTCTTGCTTATGTTTCTCCGATTGATACTCATTCTATTGCTTGCGTATCTATGCTTACGTTTTTCTTTCCGCATGTATATTATAGTAATTTCCTTAAATTAACTTCACTTTGGTTTATATAGAATCTTTTTCTTAGCTTTGTTAATTTAGGGTAAGACTTTTGTTAATTCGGTTTGCTTTGCTTCGCACCGCTCTTGTCTTTCGCATTTTTCTTGCCGCATGTTTTTGGCTTATGTGCATTTTCTTTTGGCTATCTTTTCTAATTGCTTTTTGATTGATTGTCCTAAAATATAGTTCTGGTGCGTTAAATCGATATAGTGTTTTTCCTGCTTTATATTGTTATTCCTCTGTTCCCTGCCTGAACGCCACGACGCTTCCGACTAGCTAGCCACCGGACAGGGCAATTGATGCATTACGGTTTAGCGACTCTCTCTCCTCCGCTGCTTAGTGGACATCTTACGGATCGGCCGTTGTCCCTTTGTACATCTCGTAGTGAGATTAGGTTTAGTGACTTTTGTGAACGGGTGGCACTTCTTAGGACTGTTGGCGTCGCCCCCGGTTCCGTTAATTTCTTGGTGATACTTTTAAGAACGAGAGACCCGTCTTAGGTTGTTGGCGTGGTCCTCGCGTCCGTTATATTAGTGTTTAGTTTTAGGCCTATTCCGAATTGGATAAATTAGTTAGTGACAAACAGAGTGCGTTGCACTCGTGGTACTCCCGCGAGGGATACCTGGCGCCCATCACGTGTTTTCGTGTTGGTGATAGGAAGTAGAGAGAGAGGTCCATTGACTAGGGCTGATGCCCTGTAAGTATAAATGTAATCAGTATAACAATATAGTATACAATATATATAAAATATAATATAATAAAATGGTAAAATATAAAATAAAATAAAATATAACAAAAACAAAAACAGTGCCTAAACTAGTAACGGTATGGCGGATAAGAATTAAAGCTAAGTTACAAACTAAGAAGAAAGGCATGCAACGCAGACTTAAAAGTAGGTAGAGTAGGTTTATCACGAATAGTACCCGGCAGTGAATTCCAAAATTTAACACCCGATATTAAAACCGAATTTTGGAAAGCAGAGGTGCGACAACGAGGGTAAATCAGGTCAGTAGGATGTGACCGTGTTACAGGTCCAGAGGATGGTCTAGATGAGATGGTCTCGAGTTGACAAGAGATAAAAGTAGGCATCGAGATATAAACAGCCTGACGAATGACGATACCGAGAAAGTATTGCCGCCGCTGAGAGACACTGAGCCATTTTAGGGTACGTAGATGCGGGGTAATGTGCTCGTATTTACGGATCCCTAGAATAAAACGAACGCAGGCGTTTAAGATTCGCTGCAATCTAATGTTTTCCTCGGTGGTAATGTCTAAAAATACAAGAGAACAGTAGTCAATAAGCGGAAGAATCAAGGATAAAACGAGTTGCTGTTTGAGCGCTCTACCTAAAAACTGTCCGTTGGCTCTTAATTGGTAGAGGGTCTTATATGCCCTATTACAGATGCTAGTGACATGCTGTTGCCAATTAAGTGTCGGAGATATAATAATTCCTAAGTTCTTGGCCGAGTTGGCGAACGGTATAATGGAGCCATCGACGACAATATCTCGAATATCCTCGAATCTAAGGGCATTGACATACCTGGAAGAACCAAGTATCATAGCTTTGGTCTTAGACGGGTTCAACCGAAGTTTGTTCTCTTTAGACCATTCACAAATACGCATGATGTCTTCGTTGACCTTCGCAATAAAGAGATTCACAGCGGTCGGAGCACAGTGAGTATAGATTTGGAGGTCATCGGCATATTTAATTATAGAGCAGTTTTGGATTTGTTGGTCAATATCTGCAATATAGAGAGAGAAAAGCGTTGGACCCAAAACTGAACCCTGGGGGACCCCCGAAGAGACAGCTGACCACTTTGAAGTGCCATCAGAGGTGCGGACAGTCTGCTTACGACCAGTCAGATATGACCAGAACCAATTTAAGGTAGATCCGGAAAAATTTAAGAGTGCAAGCTTATTTATCAGCAAAGCATGATGCACCGTGTCAAAGGCCTTTGAGAAGTCGAAAAGCACCAGCACAGTGACCATTCGATCGTCAATGGCCCGGCGAACATCGTCAGTGAGCCTGATGAGAGCATTCTGCGTAGATCCGCCTGAGACGAAACCAAACTGTGATTGATCAAGGTACCCGCAGCGCTTGAGATAATCTAACATGTCCTTACGAACTATGCGTTCCAGCAACTTTGAAAATTCGCAAAGGAGCGAGATCGGCCTGAAGTCATTACACTCTGATGGATTGGGCTTCTTCGGCACAGGAACAATAATAGAGCTCTTCCAAGCCATTGGAAATGTAGACGTAGAAAGCGAGGAGTTAAAAAGATCCAACAATATTGGAAAGAGAGATAGCGCACAGTGCTTCAAGAAGAGCGCAGGGAAGTTATCAGAGCCAGAAACATGCGAGTCGGTGAATCTCATATGAGGTAAAAGACACTCGGGGGTGACATGCTTGAAATAAAACTTTGAGTCATCAAAGCACATGTTCCTACTTAATACCTCAGGAGGCTCAGGAGAGTCCGAACTGAATGCTGAACAGAAGAAGTCATTAAGCTCGTCAGGCGACGACGTAATAGCACATGATTTCTTAGAACTAGATACTACACCGAGTTTTTTTAGCTCTTGCCAGCACAGAACGGTACTAGATGCAAATTGTAGCTTTGAAAGAGTCTCAATAAGTAAGTTCTATCGAAGTTATCGGTACATAGGTCAGTATTCCAATCGCCCATAATGATTTTAGAGACGTAGTCTTGGCAGACGGAAGAGAAGATATGCTCAAGATGGTTAGAGAAAGCAATTTTTGGTGGTCTGTATACAACACCGACCAAAAGCTTGGCAGACTCAGGTCTCGATACTTCGATGAATAAGAATTCAGGATGCGGAGTATAAGTTGATGAAGCTGATGAAGTGATAATTTTTGCAGAAATCAGGTCACGAACGAAGATACAAACTCCACCACCTTGCTTGCCAATTCTATCACAACGAAAGAGACGAAATCCTGGCAGACTAACAGCGCTGTCGTCAATGTGCGGCTTGAGCCATGATTCTGAGATCAAAATTAAATCATAGTGACTATTACCGAAGTAGTTAAGGAATTCATCAAAATGAGCCGCAATAGACTGAGCATTGACATGACAGATATTTAGAGAGTAGGCAGGACGAATAAGCTGAGACGATGTTAGCGGTGGAGTTTCAGAACTTCACAGTAAACGCTCGATGTCCTCCAGGTTGTTGATCTCAATAATTGTCGAGTTATTGTCTTTTTTAACTTTAACAGAACCATTACGGACCCAGACATACTGGTAATTCTTAGTTCTTGCCGCATCCCGAGTAGCACGGAGAAGTTTATATAGATCAGATGGTAAATACTCATTAATATAGATACGAGAGTCAGAAAATGAAGCATTGACTTCTTTCGCAGTGAGAGTGCCTTTAAGACGTTTTGAAGTCAAGACCGCATTACGTAATTCCGAAGAAGAGAGACCGATGAATAACATCCTCGGTTTGTCGGTAGTTGTTGTTGTGGTTTTGTTACGCATACGTGAGAGTTCAGTGATCTGTGTACTATCGACAGTGACATTTAGAGTCGCAAATAACAACAACACAGAGTCGCGGTCACTAAGATTACTCATTTCAGGCAAACCAGAAATGACAAGATTTCTGCAATATTTTTCATATTCGAGAGTACGGATACGCGCAGTAAGAGGCAGAACGACATTCGAGATATCCGAGGCAGTGTCTGGATGCTTAGAGAACCGGGTTTCCAAAGAATGCATTCTATCATTAATTACTTTATCCTGTTCAGAGCAACGAGTCTCAAAAGCTTCCAAGCGATCCACTAGCGCCCCTTGTTCACGTGTTAAATTTGCAGTGGTCTCTTCAACTGCAGTAATTTTATCCGTTAAGGAGTTGAGCTTGTTGAGACACCCACGGATATCAACCTTAAGTTCATCTAGATCAGCTAGTTTGTTCTTAATGTGCGAGACATCCCGCATAGCAACATCCATGCCGTCAATTTTTGAGGTTAAATTAGACACAAGAGTACTAAGTGAAGCAAGTTGCGCACAAATATTCGTTGTACTATCGGATGACGTAGGAATTGCGGCACTCGGCGTCTGATAAGTAAAGCCAGCATTTTTAGCGCACGCAAAACAGTTAATGACTTTCAAATCCGGAAGAGTATCAACACGTAACTGTTTCAACAGACACGCAGGATGAAATCCATGGGTAGCAATAGCACATAATCTACATAATTCCTCAGTTGCAACAAATCTAGAGCAGAGCCCACAGTTGACGGGTGGCATCTTGAACTCGCGCACACAGCTACACTAACGTAAGAGATTGGTATCCTATGATATTGCGGTATAGGAGTGAGCACACCTGAGCGAACAGGCCAGCGGAGCGCAAGTAGATGGAGGGGATGACCAAACGTTATTGTCACTAGAAGATCACTGTGGTTGAAGATAGAGCTTAAGGCTCTAGTGATAATGACAACAGGAACAAACAGACAGCGTTGACCCGGTAGAATGTAGAAGGTTGTACAGGTGACGAAATCCACAAGTATTCACCAATCACTGTAGTCTGCATACCATGCCCGGGCCAACCAATCAGTGCGATGATACGCGAACAAAGAAGCCGCCAAGTAGTTGAGACGTCGTGAAGAATTGTGGAGGTTAGAAAAAGCAGCCTCAGATAAAATGCTTCCAAAACCGTGACTTAATTATGAGAGCCCTGCCGTATTAGCTCAAACAGTGCCAGAGCCACGGAGGAAGCCGAAGAAACTGTAACAAACGCCCAGAGGGCAGAGAACAGCAGAAAAATTCCAAAAAGGTAGAGAGCAATTTGACAGGCGTGCAAGTCTACTTACAGAGAGAGAGAGAGAGGGAGAGCCAGCTGGAGTCCCAGGAGGAATGGAGCTGCGACACGCGAGGGTCGACACTCGCTCTATCTGCGGACAGCAGCTCTACTGGCCCCGGAGGCGCGCGCAACGCGGGACAGCTTGACGTCACGCGGCCGCAACGCGCTCTACTCAGCTGGTACTCAACCACGACGACTGGAAGCGGCGCGTACAGTGCCACCCGACTGAGCACCACTTCCGACTCCTATGGCATAGTAGCGCTCATCGTCACTTTGCGCATAATTATATTTCCGCGAATTGGGAATCCAGGGACGCCTGGTGCACCCTCGCGCGAGAACGAACGTTACTCTTCGTAGGACCGAGATGTTTAAATTGTCAACAAGAGATGATGGAAATTATTAATTGTCGCGATGACATATTCGAAACTGGCGCGTGGCGAAGACGCTGGGTTGAAGGATTCGTCCGCAGGGCGAATCGCCGCCCTTTAGCCTGAAGGGAGGGGGTGCTATCCTTCACGCGAAGACAAAGCGCGTGAAGATCGAGAGATTCCTGCTTGGACACGCGTAGACGTTAGACGTTTTGTTCGATTGGAAGTTCTTGAGTACGCGAGTGCACAAAGAGCCGGTGGGCTATCGATTGAGTTTTCTGGGATTACGCGACCAGGGAACAACACG